ATGCCGATCAACCAAATGACATCAGTCAATGCTTAAAAATTTGGAAAAAATAAAGAGTGCGTGGCGCGAAGCGACACTCACATCCTTGTAATTTTTTAAATAATTTTGTTGGTTTACAAAAAAAATGATTTCACAAACAAGCAAACATAATTTGCTATCAACTTTTTCAACGTTGTTTTTATTTAAAACAGAAAGTTTTTATAAACTTTATTTTGAAACAATTCAAACACTAAAAAATACCAACAAATGTCCAAAATGGTTAAAGGTCATTTTGTTTGCATTTCGTTATCGACTTTTTCAATATGTGATTTTTAACATTTTTTCTGACTGGAAATCATTTCGCATTTACTTTTTTGATTACCTCTATTTTACAAGAATGCCACAAGAACTGGTTTATTCAGTGTTTACTATGCAATTCATGTTTTACTGTTTGCTGATTCAAATATTTTACAATATAGCAAACACTGAATACGCAAAAATTCCTTATTATATTTTATACAGTAATGATAAAAACTTTAAAACAATCAGAAAAAAATTTATTAGACTAACAAACAAAATTCAAGTAATCTCACTAATAACGTGTAAGTAATAACTCTTGTTAGCCACTATTTTTACTAATAAATTTTAAATATTTTTAAGGTTCTGCATCGATATTTTCTGAAGCTATTGTTGTACATTATCTTTACAATAGGCGAGACTATTTTCCAATATCGTTTTTAGGTTTTATCGCATTTTTAGTTATTCAAGCAAATGCATTTAATTTTCAAATATCTCTTATCAGCTTGTCATTGGTGCTAAAGATTGCTTTTGTTTTTCCCATCATTTGCAGCATTGCCATTTTTAAGCAGTTTAATGAGTTTAATGTCAAACTGATTAAATTAATTGACAGGAAATCTGGTCAGCACAATTTTCTACTGCCTCATTTCCTAAATAATTTTACGCACATGCTTTTGTCGGTATTTTCAGTCAATACAATTTTTGGCAGTCAACTTGCACTAGTTGTCGTTTTGTCTACGCCAGTTAATACTCTGGTCATTATGATGCTCATTTTTGGTCGAGTTCCTATTGGAAATGTACTCTCTACGTTAGGAATGATATTCATTCAACTGCTCTATCTTTTTGGCGTTCATTGTCTAGCTGTGCATTACCCAATTAAAATGTACTCCATTTGCAAAACACTTTTCATTGTCAATGCAAAACTTGACTTGAAGTTGAGTTTTAAAGTCAAGTTGAAACTACTGCTAAAAATTTTAATGCTTCAATCACGCTACGGCATCACCTATGGTGCCATTGGGGCCATTTGCACTGCAAAAACGTTTATCAAGGTGATGTTTCACTACAGCAGCCTTTTCTCATTAGTAATGTACTAAAATATCCTTTTCAGTTTCTCACCTTTTACTCAAAATTTATATTTTACACATTCAAACTACACAAAGGAAACTAGTGCATTTTGTTTTGAAAATAAAACCAGTTATTTAATTTTTGCAAATTTTTTTGTTTCCAATCAACAGCCAATTTATAATTCATTATCACACCGTTGAAGCCTGTTACAGTTTATTGCTTTTTCTGCTCACCGACCTTGATCATCACCTTGACGCCGGCGCCAGAGACGACGGTATCAAAAGCCTTGGCGCAGTCCTTAAAGTCAAAACGATGGGTGATCAGCTTCTTGAAGGGGTACTTTCCTGAAGCAACCAACTCAATGGCCGCAGGAAAGGCGGTCTTGTATCGGTGGCAGCTGCGAATGTCCACCTCTCGGTTGGCCGCCTCAGCGACGGGCAGGAGAATCTCAGTGGGGCCCATGCCCACAAAGACGCAAGTGCCCGCCGACTTGGTGGTGAGCATCACCAGACGGAAGTTGACCGCCACACCGGAGCACTCAAAGGTCTTGTTGGGCAGTTCACCGCCAAAAGCGGCCTTCACCTTCTTCACCAGCTCAGCCTCAGTCTGCCCCTTGCTCACGAGAATGGTCTCGTCGGCGCCCAGCTCACGGGCCAGCTGCAGGCGCTGTTCATTGATGTCGGTGAGGACGACGCGGGTGGCACCGTACGCCTTGGCGCAGATCAGCGTAATCAGACCAATTGGACCGGAGCCGGTGATGAAGACCTTGTCACCGACGGTGATGTTGCCACGTCGGCAGGCGTGCACACCGACGCAGACTGGCTCCACGAGGGCGGCCTCTTCGGCGTCCACGTGGTCTGGCACCCTGAAAAAGAGAAAGAGAGAATCAAGGGGAAAAGTGAAAAACATGAAAAACATGAAGAAGAATTATGCAAAAAAGCACTTACTTAAATGTAAATTTGCCGTGATGGACAAAGTAATAGGTTAGACTTCCGGTGTAGGGCGGGCAGGTACTGGTGGCGTACTCGCACAGGTTGTAGTCCTTGTTGTCGCAGTACTCGCACTTGAGGCAGGTCACCGAGGGCTCGTAGGTGACGAGATCGCCCGGCTTGACGTGCGTCACCTCAGAGCCGACCTCAACGACCTCCGCGGAGGCCTCGTGGCCAAGGACAATCGGGTGGGTGATGATGATGTTGCCGAGGCGCATCTCCTTCAGGTAGTGAATGTCAGAGCCGCAGATGCCGGTGGACAGCGAGCGGAGAAGAACCTCTGTGCAGGTAAAGAAAAACAAAACGGTTTTTATATAGTAAATAAAAGTGCTGTACACTCTCCCTCTTACCTTGCGGGCCAGGCTTTCGGGGCAGCTCGTACGGCTGCATGCGAGCATCGTCGAGGGCGTGCAGAACGTAGGCCTCGTTCTTGAAGTCCTTTGGAATTGGAGACATGGCTGGTTGATGGTAGGATTGGGATTGGGTGGTTGCCTCAAAAGCAGCAGCTGACAGTGAAAGGAAAGTGTGTCTGGTGGTCTGTCCTCATGGCTACTGGTTGCTTTTATACTCCAAAAAGCGACATAGTTTTGTAGAAAAGACGGTAAAAATGGCGGTGATGGTGGTGATTGGAATTGACACTGCACTGACATCCTCAAAAGAGAGAAGGCTCACATTTTCTCATTGGGTAGTTTTCACTTGAGATAATGAGTGAAAGCCTAACCAAAGAGTTCACTTAGTGCTTTCTTTCACTTCTGAAAGTCTATTAGTGCTTGTCTACACTGTTGCTGCCGGCTGCTGATCACACTTTCACCGTGTGCTTGTCCCTGCGTGTTCCTTATCGATATCCACCATATGCTGATAGTGGATCAATTGGCTAGTATTGATTAGTAGGCTAGTGTAATTAGCAGAAAAATGGGCAGTAGACTAAACTGAACAAGAACTACTTTAGACTTTGACATTTTTTTAATCTAATTAACTGTTTCCAAATCTAATTAAACTTTGGTTAAAACACTTTAAAAATTAGTTAAAACTTCCAGCTTCTACTGCTTAACAATTTATAAAATTTTAAATTAAGTTTTAGATGAGGAACAACCTTGAATCAAATGTGCCATCAGGTGTATTACGAATTGGCCAAATTACACAAATTACTTGACAAGTTGATAATTAAACTGATAAAAAGCAAGAAATGTAAACCATCAATGGTTTCAACTGTCAAATTGGTGTGATAATACTATTGCCTTTTCTACTGTCCAGACGATGAGATTTCCCATTTGTGTGGTAAAGTGCAAAATGCAAACGATTTCAAATGACATTGAGCATCTTTATCAGTGCACGTCCTTGCCGTTATGTTGAATGGAAATTTTTCTTTTTCACCAAGTGTTTCCCAAATTTTTTCTCTTAAAATGCTAATAAATGTTCACAAATGTCTATTTTATTTTTAATCACTTTTCTAAAACGTAAAAGTTGTATTGAGTAACTTTTAATGTCGTCTCGCGTTTATCAATCTGATATATCATGATACTTAAAGTCTGATAGAGACTGATCAAAAACTGTGTGTATGTTTAGATTTGGTCTAGTTGTCAGCCACTGTTCAAGTGGTTACTCTCTATTTGTTTTTGCCATATTTGAGCTTGTCAGCAAGATAAAACACACTGTCAGACTCGATATCACTAAAAAATCGAACCATTTGAGTGGCAATCAATTTGCAGTAAAGTTTGGTTACAATAATAAATAAATACAAGTTTCATAATTGTCAGCCATACAGATTTTTGTTGAAAGTTTTTTCAGCACTTGATGATTTATCTAAAAGTTTTAAAGTTTATTTTAAATCATCAAATGCACTTAAAAAATAATGATAGACAAGATTTAATTAAGTGGTTGATCGTTTAGGGTTCATAGTATTAAATATTTTTAAGGAACTTAAAAACAAACATTAAAATTTCACTGAATATAATTAAAAACTATAAAAAAATTTAAAAAGTTGTTTGTTTTTAATATTTAGCAACATACTTTGGTGAACGCAAACATTGAAATTAACCCTAAAGTTTAAAAGAAAAAAATAAATTATAAACGTTTAATTTTAAAAACTTACCAACATTTGCATAGGTAAAACCATAAGGCTTAACCGTGTTTCCTGTGTTGAACAATTCAATATAATTACCAAGTTTAATTTTATGAGCACCGCTAAAACATTTAAACTTCATGTAAGTTTTAATGTACAGTTTACTATGAAATTTAAATTTATTGTTGATGCTTGCAATAAATAAATGAATTCCAAAGTTGCAGACAAACTGCTGAAGAGCAACAGTCGCCACAAAAATGAGAATTGTAAATGTCAGATTTTTCATAAAAATAGATGCTACTAGTAAGCAGTTAGAAGGATTGTTGACAACAAGAAATGCAAAGAAAGCCTTTCCATAAAACTTGTTTGCTTCAACAATAATGCTCAAAATTTTCAAGTTTTCGGATAAAAATTTTAGCATTAGTGCCTTTTGTTTCACTTTATTTGTGCCAGTGTTATTTTGAACGAATGTAAAATATTTGTTATGATAAAGTTTAATTGTTATTGCAAATAATAATGTGATAGCATGAAGTGCAATTAATATATTTGTGTAAGAAAACAAATACAATGCGTTATATAAAAACATCAAATTTATTTCTGCCACTAAAACTTTGATGTAGTAAAAAATGTTGAACAAATGATAAGTTTCATCTTTAAATAAAAGTAAGTTCACGTAATATTGTGATATCAAAACAAGCAAACCTAAACATGCATGGTTAGCTTTTGTGAAAAAAATTAAACTTTTATTGTATTTACCTATCACAACAATAAAAACTTGAAATAAATTTACAATTACGTAAGAAAATTGCTTTAAAATTTTATAAACTAATCTCTTTTTGTATGTAAAACAAATGAAAAAGTTGCTTTGTTCTAAAATTAAAATATTGTACAAAACAACATTTATTTTCCAAAAATCAGTAAAATAAAGTAGTTTTATAAAGTAGATTGTTAATGCTATGATACCAATAGCAATAAAATTAACTTCTTTAGGTAAATTACCGATTGTAACAAGATCATAATGAATTGCAATTTGGTAAGTTGTTTTTGCTGGAAACACATACAAGTAAGCAAAGTTGCACAACGTTATAATCAGTTTAAGAGTTAATATTGTAAACTTTCTTTTCACTGTAGCTTTGCTGTAGAAAAATTTTTTATTTTTAACCAATTCTAAGTAGTTGCCAAGGAAGGATAAATTTTTGTAAGGTATTATTTGATTCAGAAGAATGCCCATTTTTATTTAATTGTGCACATTTAAAAAAACAAATTACATGTTTGGTTAAAATGGCAAAAAATAAATTGTTTATTATGTATCTAAAATGGTATTTGACACTAGAAAAAAATCAACAACTAAATATTTCTAAAAGACAATTTTTTATATTTGTTCAAAAACTTTTTTAAAACAAATGCATTTACTTTNTTTGACACTAGAAAAAAATCAACAACTAAATATTTCTAAAAGACAATTTTTTATATTTGTTCAAAAACTTTTTTAAAACAAATGCATTTACTTTTTATTCTACACATAATTTATTGCGTTTTTACTAGTTGCTAAATTATAAATTTCATTAAAAAAATCTGAATTTATAACAACTTTACTTAAAATATTTAAGGGGGGAC